CCCCCGTGCCTCCCATTTAGAATTATTTTACCAGAGTTTTACAGACTGAACTTGAAGATGAAGAAACTGTGAAAATAATTTCACCGTGTCTAAATCTGAAGGTAGTGATGTCACTGGTACTTCCTTAGCCATTTACCCTTGGTGTTAGAATTTAAACATAATTTAGTTTTGCTTTTTATAATAATGTACTCAAAAAGAAAAAAAACCTACCTACTTAAACAGTTGTTGACTTGTTGGGCAATCGATTATTATTCATTGTTTTGTTTCAATTACCATTTAATTTACACAACCAAACAATTAAGAAATAGTGCTAACTGAACATGCTATGAACACTACTTGCCCAGTGTTTTCCTGCCCATTCAGGTTTGTCAGGTTAGCATAAACAACAAATGGGCTTGACAGGTTTGAAACATTTGAATAAAACCATTTTGTTATGGGAACATATGCAATAAAGGAAATCTGCCTGAGGGGCAAATTCAACAGCAGCACTCTCTAGTTTGTGTAATTATGACTTTTCATCCATTAACACCAAGTTCCCAGTATTGCAGTGTGTTTTAAACTGTTACTATAAAATGCTGAGTCAGTCGTGTTGGGCCTCTGCATGTCTGAAAACTAGTTTGTAGGCAGTGATTGCATCAGCAGTGTTCAGTTTCAAAGAGGTGTGGTTTTTAACTTTACACACAGAACAAGCTGCTGCATGAGAAAAGGCAACAACGACAGATGATATACAGATAATCTGCCTCTGTGTTTGATTTCGCAGCCTTCTGTGTAGCTGGTGGTCTGATTTAGAGTTTTTGAATCATGTCAAATAGAAAAAGATTGTTGCTGTTGCAGCAAATCTGCTTATGTTTTTGTAAAGAATAAACCAATGAGACTTGGTACATGGTAATATTGAACTATTTTAAGTTGTTCATTCATCCTTAGAAAGTATTTCTTTCTACTTTAAGGCAGATAAACTACACCAGTACAAGGTCAGCACTTTTGTCAGATGATTGATCAGCGAAATCTATCACACAAAACAGGTGCTAAAAATCATCTAATAAAAAGCTAATAAAATGCTGCTGTAGGCCACTAGATAAGCAGTGCTATTTTAGATGCAGCATAGAGTCTCTGAAACCCCCTGCTTATTTCAGGGTCTCATAAATCCAGTTTCGCCTATGAGGAGAAGTACCTCGGCTCAACCGGTGCCTGCAGCTCATTACTTTGTTTATTTTTCACTTGCGGTCTCACTGTGTTCCAGTCGAGCATTCAGCTGTCTTGCTGTTTGAAATCTCTCTCACCCACTCATTCTTTTTACTGTGTATTCCCCTTTTAAAGCTTTCGTGTCCCAGAGGTTACTGAGATTGTTCCCCACAGTATACTATAGAAAAGTTTCACTTCTGGCACCGAGAGTGAGAATCTTCTCTTGTACCATTGCACACGTGTATCATTTTTCATACACTATATCTTAGGGATCGATTTCACTAAAAGGAGAAAAAGAAATGTAAATCATTATTGCATTTCTTTGTTAAATCAGAACGTCCAGTTGAGATTAAAAAAAAAAACCCTTTGGAAGAGAGACCTGACCAAGGCAGCAGCCAATCAGACACAGTAAATTACAACACCATAAATAACAAATATATATGAACCAGATGCTCTTCCTGACACTACCCTCACCAACTTATCCGGGCCTGGGACTAACCCTAGGAGGACACAGAATGTAGCCCCCAGTGGCTGGTTTTCTGCATTTCATGAATATACATTTATATAACTGACAAGTTGACACCGAGGTCATTTGTCAGTAGATATTTATTTTAATGACGTCAACCACCAATCAAACGCCAAAAGATTTGTAAGCAACTCATTGTGACACCATCGAGATGAATAGTAATAACAATGCACAGACACTTTGGAATAAATATTATATATTTATATTATTTGTAAAATTAACAGCTTGTAACTGAAGAGAATAGTCTTGTATTTTACATGCTAATTTAAAAAAGTAATTATAAGAAATTTTGTAGCACAGTCTATTACCAGAGCAAAATTAGGAAAATAAAAAGAAGCACCTTACATCTTAAATTCATTCAAAACTTTGTGTACATTAAGTGTAATGATTGTCTTGCACACACACACAGAGAGAGAGAGAGTGTGTGTGTATGTCATTAAGCCACGGGTTTACTCCCATTAAGAACCTAAAGTGTAAAGCTCAGCGTTCTCCCATCTAAAAATAAATCACTCATTCTCACTGGTGAGCACTTCCTATTTGCAGCTCTTGCCAATTCCCTGTTACTGCTCTAACAATGGACCTCAGGTGGGCCATAAAGCAAGATTATGTCGTCCTGGGCATAGCTTACCAACTGTTGTTCAAGTTTCCTTCCTGCTTTTGGGAATAATCTGTTCCAGCTTTTATTTAAGTTTTATATTGGCACTTCTAACTGGCAGGTCTGGGAATGCTATTAGTTTCCATGCTATTGTTTACTACCAAGAAGGTAAAGTGAAGGGGCTTGGCCGCTACTAAAAAAAAAGTGTCCTTATGGGGCTGATGCTCCGACAAGACAAATATGTCCTGCAACCATCAATTTGGAGACAGCTGTAGCAGTCGTCGAACCACATGTGAAGTTGTAACACGTTCGTTCTATAAGTTGTTTTATGTTGAACATAAATAGGACAGATCACAAAAAAATGTTAGACGCCAAGTGCCTTTAACACGTGTCAAAAGTAATTTAGCATGATCTGAGACTTGGCACTCTCCAGGGGCAAAGCAGTATAGGATCCTACACTTGTTTTTGCAACTAAGAGATTAAGTTAATACTTAATCGTTTTTATTTGTTTTGGGTTTTTTTTTTAATATTTTAACACACTGATTTATTGGATCAAGTTTCCAGCATCTAAATCACATTTCCAACGTCAAAACAAATATTTTCTCTTGGCCCAATTAATTATCTTGTCTTTTCAGATGCCAGACTCATTCCAGTTGGCCAGAGATACACGTTGGTTTAGTGTTCAGGCGTGTTCATGGCAAATAAAGATCTGGTTCTGTCAACATGGATGTATTTAATGTAAAAGATCCCAGTTCTAATGCACCTTCTGCTATCATTTTAAATGACAGCTACAAACAAGAGCAAAACCCATGAAGCCCAGCTATACCCACATTTGCTATTCAAAAACTCGTTCTAAATTTTTATCTCAACAATGTGTTTCCCAATAAGATACTAGTGGATTTACAAATACTACACTTCAGAAAATCCTAAGAGTATAAAACTTCTGATTTATGATTTATTTGAAATGTGTATTTGTTTCTGAAATAATTTGTGATTAGCCTTAAATAGGTTAATATTCAACCATATTTATCACCGTTTTTGAAGTGACCAGTAAGACAAGTGATCCCAGTTTGCCACATCACTGGGAATCACAGACTGCACTTTCTGTACAATGTCCAGCTCATAAGGAATCTGTTTTTTTTTTTTTGTTTGTTTTTTTTGTACCTCCATTGCTTTTCCAGGAGCCTTGGCATGACTTTTACCTCCATCCCTGCTTTCTCAGTAATGTTGCAAACATTTCTTTGAGATTGGATGAACCGTGCCAACATGCCCCTATTGTGTACACAATAGGGGCATGTTGAAGATGAAGTAAGATGGCTGTAAGTTATAAAAGACAAAGAAAGACAAAACTTGGAAATTGGCCTACGTTACTGACCAATAAATTAGTATGTTTCTGCTTTCTAAACTCGTATTTCCCCTCCTCTCCCACTTTCTCCTTAGTCCCAACTGAAAATGAGACTCTTTGTCACAGTCCTGACACAGCACTTTCTGAGTGTCTGCTCTTTTTCAGTTGAGGCCTTAGGGCATCGACCGTCTCTTCTTGAACAATGGCCATTTTTGTTTGCTTTCCCCTTCATTTTGGGGAATTCTAGCAAAACTGGTAAACCATTGTGGACCAATAAGGTGTGGTTACTATCTCTAGACTAATCATTCTATTTGAATGACTCACCTGTCAGTCACACAAGATGTAATCTAGATAACCTCCCCCTCCCCCCACACACTTTTCTTTGAGATAATTGACAAATGGATCACAAAAAAAAAAAAAAACCAAACAAACAAAAACCATAAGGCATTAAAACAAATTGTCACACAGCAATGTACAAGGAAGACTTTATTTTTTACATTCCCAGTTGTACACCATACATTGATTGTGCTACATTAACTTTCATTTGTGTTGTTTTTTTTTTCTGGTAACTTTTTGCCCTTCATGATGGCTCCCAGGTGTCAGTCAGACTCTTGATGTTTTTATGTCTTAGATTATGATGTTACCACTGTTAGTGTAGGTGAGTGACAGAGATACTGAAGTACAGTATGTGCGTAGGAACAGAACTATGATGCAAGTCGAGGACCCCATGTATAGTTCAACGACAAATAAATATGGAGAAAAAAAAAAAAAAAAGGGTAGTGCTATAAAAAATAAAATGCAAACCATTTGTGGTCAAAGCCCAAATTCCAACAGCAACTATTTCTGAATTTCCTCCCAAATGATTACTAAGTGGACTGCAAATTGTTCATTTAAATCATAACCTTATCACATACCTTCTGTTGTCGTTTTCAGCACTTGGTCCAGTGGGATCCCGGGAACCCTGAGTGTTTGCTTCGGTTGGTACAGGAGCTCCTCCAGCAGTACCACAGCTACCAGTGCCAGCGTTTGCAGGAGAGCTCCAGGCTGCTGTTTGAGTACGACAGCTTACTGGAGGATCCCAACTATGGACGCAACATGGAGATTTATGCCGGACGGAAGAACACCTGGGTAAGATATGTTGTCCTGTCATTTCACACATTTAACATTTTAAATGACTTCATTTGTATCTAGATATCAGTCTACGCATCAATGAAAACAACTGCTGAAACTAAGGACGCGCCACTTGGCTGTTGTTACAATTACGTTGGTTGCATTTATGTCTGCAGTTCAGTCCAAACTGATTTTTCAGTGCATCGTGATGCTGGTCAGTTTATTGCATCTTACATTTGTATTAATAAAAAATATATTTTTATTTTCATCAGCAAAAGTTTTAACAAAACATCATCGTCAAAGCTGTTTTTCAAAAGGCCCTCAGCTGCCTTTCACACTGTTTGTATGCAAATGCATAAACAGATTTTAAAAACATTAATTTGGATGAATGCATTCACTACCAACAGTGACCCTAAAATGACTGCAGATCTGCTAATGGCTCTCATCCAGCTCAAATGTTACGTTCAGAGGAACTGAGAAACAGGCAGGACCCAAATGCAGCACTTGTGAGACATTGATCAGTTGGAGAAAGTTTATGCATTATGTCTAAAATCCTAATCCACTTACTGGAGTCTGGGCCAAGCAGGAACAAACAACACGCAGGGAAATGACAGGCAGGAATAATCAGGAACTCAGTTGAGTAAAAACACAAAACAAGAAGCCAGGAACACTGTGGCATGAAGGACAAACTTAGAAACGCAAAACACTGACCACAAGGCAGCAACACTAAACAATGACCTGACTGGGACTGAGTGCAGGAGGGAGGTATATATACCCAGGGCAACAGGTGACACCAGTGAGACTAAATGACCAAGGACACACAGGACACAGGTGAGCGTGATGACACTGATTAACACAGCAGAAACAGAGACAGGAGGGAGGGGAGACAAAAGGACATCACATAAGTGTCTATGAATGGGGCTTTAGTCAATGAGTACGTAAAAATGTAGCAATGTAATGTTTAACAAAAAAGTACAAATGTATCTTTCAAAGTATCAAATAAAAAAATACCTGTAACATGTGAAACTGACATTGACAACTTCAACATCTGCAACACCCTGATGATTGGCTACCTGTATAAATAAACATGACCAGAAATTGGAATCAGCAAGTCACACATTTGCCTTTTGTTTTTACAGACGGGAGAGTTTTCAGCTCGTTTTCTTTTAAAACTCCCAGTGGACTTCAGCAACATCCCAGTCTATCTACTTAAGGTAGTGTGTGTTTTATTTAAAATGATGACAAAACTCAAACACCGTATATCTTTGTCGTGTTTTTGTGTATCTCCTCACTCCCTTTTTTCTTCTCTTTTATTCTTTCTTATTTCTGAAATTTCTGCTCTTTTGCCATGTATTTTTCATCTTCTCATGTCTGATGATTTATTTCTGAAATGTCTGCTCTTTTGCCATGTATTTTTATTTTTCATCTTCTCATGTCTGATGATAACATGAAGGAAACAGCTGCTAAGATTACCATCACATCAGTCTGCCCCCCCCCACCCCAGCCCCTTTCTCTCTCCTCCCCGTACTCCCCCTCTCTTTCTCAGTGTCTCGCTCTTTCCTTCCAGAGCTGCCTTGTTACTCAAGATAGATTTTTTTTCTTTTTCTGAATGTTTTAGACAAGAAAGGCAGACCTGCCTGGAAGCTATACTGTTGACAGGTTTTTATTTTTTACTTTTTTTTCTCTCTCCAAACATGTCTGCTGTCACATGGGTTTCATGCAAATGCTTTCAAAAAGGTGGGCAGAATACACACTGACACCTTTGGCTGTGTAGCCACTGACACGGTGTTGCCTAAGAGGATGAGTTTATTTATTTACTGATTTCATTACTAAAGCCGGGGTGTCACAGTGCTGTCCTGTCACCCTGATCATCTCTCATTTG